CAGGGCTGCCCCTAACACCGGGTAGGTCCTGCCTCCCCTGGCTCTGGGTCCACTTGGCAGCTAGGGCGAGGATGCATTCATGGGTCTGGGCCAGCAGATGGCGTAGTGGTTATATCGCCGGACTCCCACATGGCTGATCAGTGTGAGTCCAGGACCAGCTGCCTTGAAACTCATACAGGGCGCACGTGTGTGCTCAAGATCTCAGGAAGAGAACAGAAGGGGTTCAGGTGTGGTCACCCCCCCAGGAGGTGATTTCTCACTTTCCCTCTCACTGTCTTTCTCTCTCAAGGGCACGTGCCCTAAGGCTAAAACCTCAAAAAGGTGGTAGGCGGCATGATGGTGAAGGTGCTGGACTCCCACATATCTGGCCGCAGTTCAAGTACCAGACCTGGCAGCTTTCTCTCTCTCCTTCTCTCAGTCTCTGTCCAAATTAAAAAATCATAATAACAAAATTAAAATAAATAATTCTTTAAAAACATTTCTAAAAAGGAGCCATGGCTCTGGGTGTCTTAGAAGGGATCACAGGACAAACAGGAACCATCAGGTGAGCTCCCTGGCCGCTGCCCCAGCCACACAGTTGGAGAAGCATTTCCCTCCCACTTGACAGGGGACCTTTGACCAAGCTCAGAAAAGTCGCAGCTGGTGGGGGAGGGAGGGCTTTTTGAATGGAAGGAACTGTTTTCCTTTTCTAAAGAGGCTCTGGGTAATTCCACTCCCCCCTCTCTGCCAAGCTTTATCTTGGTCTAAGGTTTCACACAACTCTCCAGGGATCTCCGCTGTGGCAGCTGCTCCTCCTCTCTCAGGGAAGAAGTGGGCCTGCTTGTCAGTGTTTGTTTTATTTTATGCTCAGGGAGTGCCTGACAGAGAGAGAGAGAGACAGAGAATCTCCCAAGGGGGCCTGGTCATACTGCTATCTTTTTTCCTTCAGCTCTCCAGCCTGTCCTGATCCTGGTGTGTTTCAGGACCAGGACTCAAACCCTGGATGGCCACATAGGATCTGCCTTCCCGGCAGCCCTAAATGTTTTCGTTTTAATAAGCACATGTCTCAGCTCAGTGGCGACTCAGAGAGGGGACTGAGGACGTCCAAGAGCCAGGGAGAAGTGACACCAGCCAGGGCAGGCATGGAGCTGAAGGCAGAGGAAGGTGGCAGGAAGGGGCCAGCCTTCCCCAGTGCCCAGGGCCATTTTCCTAGGGATGGGTGAATTCTGGTTTCAATAAAGAACAGCAGGCAGGCAAGAAAGAAGCTGCCCGGTTGAGAAAAAGGAACCAGGAGAGGAAGTTCAGTGTGTCCCATTTATTGAGCCAGCAAATGCCGCTGGCACAGGCAAAGGGGATGCAGACCTGACTTAGGGAACTCGCAGCTGAGTGAGGGAGACTCAGATGCCCACTGGGTGAAGCACCCCAAAACTACAGCAGACAGGGAGAAGGGGGTGCACCATCTCTGCCTCGGTGAGGTGAGAAGGCTTCAAAAGAAGATGACTAGGGCTTTGAGGGATGAATAGGAGTTTGAGGTAGTGGAGATTGGGAGAGGGCATGCTAGACTGTGGAAAAAGCTTGCTGGGAGGTGGAAAACAGCAGCGTGTGTGGGAAGAAACTCACTGGTGGCTGGGAAAGACCCGAGGTGGAAAGAACGGGTGACCGCAGAGTGGAACCATGCCTTGCTATGGATCCAACGTGGGTAGAGGCCCTGGGCTTCGCGGGTCACCCTGAGGACCTCTGGGGGAGGCGGGGACTGTCTTCCTCCAGGCGTTGAGGAAGGGTATTAGCAGGGCTGGGTCAGGGGAGACGGGGCGGGGAAGAAGCCGGCCAGCAGCAGGGGGACGAGGTCCAACCCCCGCGGGCGTTCCGCGCGGCGGGGCAGACCTCTCGGGCCCTGGGGGTGCGCTCTGCCCTCGGTGCGGCGCGGCAGGTAGGAGGGCGAGGGACGGGAAACCGCGGCGGTAGCGGCGGTCCCCAGGCTTTGCAAGAATTGCGAACTCGGCAAGGATCTGGCTCGCTGAGATTTTGGAGTTT